TGAAATCTTTCTAGCTTTCCAATGTGGGCATTTAGTGTTATAAATTTCCCTCTTAACACTGCTTTAGCTGCATCCCAGAAATTCTGGTACATTGTCACTTTGTTCTTATTGGTTTTAAAGAACTTTTTGATTTCTGTCTTAATTTCATTATTTACCCAGGAGTCATTCAGGAGCAGGTTGTTCAATTTCCATGTAGTTGTATGGTTTTGAGAGAGTTTTTAAATCTCGAGTTCTAATTTGATTGTACTGCGGTCTGAGAGACCATTCGTTATGATTTCAATTCTTTTGCATTTGCTGAGGAATGTTGTATTTCTAATTATGTGGTCTATTTTAGAGGAATGTATATTCTGTTGTCTTGGGGTGGAGAGTTCTGTAGATATCCATCAGGTCCACTTGATCCAGAGCTGAGTTCAAGTCTTGAATATCCTTGTTCATTTTCTGTCTTGTTGATCTGTCCAGTATTGACACTGGGGTGTTAAAACTGCCACCACTATTGTGTGGCAGTTTAAGTCTCCTTGTAGGTCTCTAAGAACTTGTTTTATGGATCTGGGTCCTCCCGTATTGGGTTTATATAAAAAAAAATATATATATATATATATATATATATATTTTTTTTTTTTTTTTTTTTTTGAGACGGAGTCTCACTCTGTCGCCCAGGCTGGAGTGCAGTGGCACAATCTCGGCTCACTGCAAGCTCTGCCTTCCGGGTTCACGCCATTCTCCTGCCTCAGCCTCCCGAGTAGCTGGGACTACAAGCGTTCATCACCACGCCCGGCTAATTTTTTGTATTTTTAGTAGAGACGGGGTTTCACCATGTTAGCCAGGATGGTCTCGATCTCCTGACCTTGTGATCTGCCTGCCTCGGCCTATAATTCCAGCTACATAGGAGGCTGAGGTAGGAGAATCACTCAAAATTTTGAGTTCTACCAAATCTTCTCATCGATGTGTCCCCAGTTCACAGGCCCAGTGCCTGATAGATATAGGTTCCCACTGAATACTTAATGAGGGAGGTGGGTATTGGTTTCTTCAGCAGCTGTGACCTCCATCCCATTGCGTGCAAAGTAGGAAGGCATTGGCTCTATGTTTGTATTTTTTGTTAGTCACACAATTAAGGAACTCAGGCAGGTGTGGTGGCTCACTCATGCCTGTAATCCCAGCAGTATGGGAGGCCAAGGCAGGAGGATCGCTTGATGAGGGAGTTGGAAACCAGCCTGGGCAACAAAGCAAAACCCGTCTCTACAAAAAAAAAAAAAAAAAATTAATTGAAAAATTTTAAAAATTAGCTGGGCACAGTGGTATACACTTATAGTCCCAGCTACTCAGGAGGCTGAGGCTGAAGGATTGGTTGAACTCAGGAGTTTGAGGCTGTCAAAGGTTTTTCCAAAGGCTAAAAAGGTTTTTTTAAAACTTGTTATAGGCTGGGCACGGTGGCTCACGTCTGTAATCCTAGCGCTTTAGGAGGCCAAGGCAGGTGGATCACCTGATGTCAGGAGTTCAAGACCAGCCTGGCCAATATGGTGAAACCCCATCTCTACTAAAAATACAAAAATTAGCAGGGCATGGGGGCACATGCCTGTAATCCCAGCTACTCGGGAGGCTGAGGCAGGAGAATCGCTTGAACACAGGAGGCAGAGGTTGCAGTGAGTCGAGATTGTGCAATTGCACTCCAGCCTGGGCAACAGAGCAACTCCATCTAAAAAAAAAAAAAAGATATATATACATAAAATTTGGGGATCTACTTTTTTAACCTCATGTTATTTTATAAATACTTTTCCATATTGTCATGTAATAGTCATATTTATTATCTTAATGTCTGCATAATATTCCTTTGATTTAGTATAATTTTTTCATTTCCCTATCACTGAAGTTGTTTCTCATTTTTTGCTACTAATATTATATTTAGTGTTCCAGTGAATATCTTCATACAAATATTTCCCTGTACAGAATTTCTTAGTTCTTTTGAGTTACTTCATTTCAGTAAGTTCCCAGAAGTACAATTTATTGGTCAAACTCTATAAACCACTTTTTTCCTTTGGTTTTTGTTGCTGTTAAATACTTGATTATTTTCAGTTTGTTTATTATTTGTTTCTATGCTTAAATTCTATTGTAGTTGTATTATTACTAATAAAAAGTTGTATGATTCTTATTGCCAGCTGTTGGGTTTTGGGATACATGAATCCAGTTCCTCCAAAATAAAGAACTGCCATAAAGCAGCAGGGCTGGAGGAAGTCCCCATAAATACAGTAGGAACATTTTATAGGTTTCTGTGGGGATTCTGTAACTGTAGTGTAAAAAAAAATCTGTTCTGCAGGAACTTAGGATTTAATATTCCCCTCACTTAGCAGTTAAGAAAATGAAGTAACATAAAGAACAGGGTAAGGAAGTTACAGTTAAAAAATAACTGTATCTATTAAATACTTAAGAAATAGCAAGTTAAACTAAAAGCTTAAATGCTTAAAGTGGAAGACCACATATACTCTTATTGTCTTACAGCTTGATTCTTTCCAGGGAAATAGATTGTTCTATTTTCTTTCCTATATGTGGTAGAAATTTGTAGATGAAAAACTCATCCCTAACCTTAGAAATACTATTTTTTCAATAAATAGCTTGTTGCCTTTAATTTCACAACTGTCGTGTAATTGTATTCAATATAGTATATTTAATATATACAGAATTTAAAGTATAGTTGCCAGCCCCAATTTGTATGTGATTGCTCGCATATGTTAAAGTAAGTCAAAATAAGTCAAAGAAAAAAAAAAACCTATTCTAATCTCATTTGTTAAAGCAAGAGACAAAGCTGTTTATGATTATTTGGCTTGTACATGATTGAGTGTTATTTAAATACTGGCGGTTAAACTTTTATCTATGAAACTCTGAAAACATTCTCATTCACGTTTCCTGGAGACTGCAGCATACCAGTTTTGATTGATTTATTTATTTAGTTAGTTAGTTAGTTAAGGAAAACTGTTTCTCACCTTCAGTATTTATAGCCAGGTCACTGGAATATACCCTCTCATATCTGATTGTATAAGCATTACTTAAAATAGTACCATGCTTATCATCATTCCACCCAATGCAACTCCACATTCTGTCATTGTTACCCCCACTTTCCTAGATACTCAGTTTTAAGACCTTGGAATCATTCATAACTCTTACACTTCTCTCCAATATCTAGTTAATCTCTAGGTCTTAATTTCAGTGTTTTCAGTGTCTCCCTCTCCCCCTTTCCTTCCTGTTCTCCATTGCTACCACTTTAGTCCTGGGACTCATTACTCCTAGACCATTCCAACAGTCTAATTGGTCGCTTTTCCTCCAGTCCATCCCCACTTCATTGTGTCTTGCACACTACTTAACTGTTCAGCCCCACATTTAAGATCCTCTGAAATCTGACCATTATCCAGCTCCCAACTTCATCTGCAGTAGTCCAAGAGAACCAGTCAAAATGGAGTTTCTTTTAACTGTTCCCTGTATGCACTGTCTGTATTGTCAGCTTCTGAGTGACATGAATTTGCTCCACCACTTTTCCTCCTAACCTGAGCCCAAACCTACCTTCTCTCAAGTCTTCCTATTTGCCCCAGCTGCATTAATTGGCTGCACTCCCCTTCATCAGGTGCTAGCCATTCATGCTCCACTGTATTATCATTTACTTATTGTTTACTTGCCTGTACTAGCAGAATATAAACCCAAGATGGGCAAACATTACATCTTAAGTCTCTCTGTGTCCCCCACTGCCATGGTAGAAAATAATAGACTAATAGTTGAGAAGATGGACTTTTAAGTGACACAAACCTAGGTGAATTCTGTTTCTGCCACTTCCTGGCTATATAACCTTGAATAAGTTATTACATTTCTGTTAGCCACTATGCAAAGTGGGCATGATTATAACCCTACCAAAGGATTTTTGAAAGGATTAAATAAGACATATGTATGCAATGTGCTTATTACAATACCTGATATGTAATAAATAAATGATGGTAATTATTATGATGATGATGATGATCATGCTGACTGCTCAGTGTTAGTTGGTCACAGCATGATGCACTTTCAAGAACTGTATAATTTATCCCTTGTCATCAGTCAGGTGACTACATATATCATATGATAATAATGTTAAAGGTTTTTCTTTTAGGCTACATGCAACTTGAATATGGGGTATGTAATTTTTTTATTGTTTAGTGACAAAAATTATTCCTGGTTTATTCCAGGAAATTGCTTTACCTAGAGTCTAACCTATTGCAAAAAAAAAATGCAAACTTTGTGAAAACAAAACTTAAAAAAAATTACCTTTCTTGCATACAGTTGTTGCTTCTATTCCAAGAAAGACATTTTTTTTTGCAGCAGAAAATATCTTCTCACATAGGGAGAGTAGATTCTGAAACTAAAAATACTTATAGAAAGTGCCAGAACTTAGAAAGGTGACCTTTTCACATGCTATATCAAGTACTCTATCACTTAAATGCAAATGAATCCTTTTACAGAATTTAAAGTAGCTAATAAGAAAAATAAATCTAAAGTTACTTTAAAAATTGCAGGCTAAGTACAAAACATTTTTAAACTTTCATCTCTTTGACAGCAAAGTGTTAGAATACAAGTGTTGTAAGAGGAGCATTTAAAAACTACTGAAGAATGTTCTGTTCATAAATTAACAAAAAGGCAAATAAATTTAGCCTTAGAGTAAAAACCAGCAAACCATACCAGCACCCAAATAGTCATACACCAGGGTGTTCTGAGGACATTACTTTAGCAGCCATTTCCCAGAGGTAGTTGGGGCTTGCAGCACAACCAGATTTAAACAGAAGAATCGTAGGAGTTCCAGGGTTGTACCAGCGCTATCAGTAGGAACATCTGACACAAAATGTATTCATTCCATGTGGAATTAGTCTGTATCATTTGTCTTCAGCTAATCTAGAATGAAAGATGTGGTTCCCTGTCACCTTTTTTCTGTCTTCTTCAATGATAAAGCATATTTTACAATCTTTTTATTTTTATTTGTTTAATAGGGATCACATGCAGTGGTCTAAGGAAGAAGCAGCAGCAGCCAGAAAAAAAGTAAAGGAAAACTCAGCTGTGCGAGTCCTTCTCAAAGAGCAAGGTAGCCAACTGTATGCTGTAGCTCCTAGAGCCAGAGCTTTAGTCACTTTTCCTCCTCCTCATGTCATTGCTTCTGAGAGTTCTTAGCCTCTCCTGATTTCCTCCTCTTGTTCCATTTGGTAAAATTCCCAGTTCTTCCAGTGTAGTGGGACCAAAGTTAATGAAATTTGTATTCACCCTATAATTGGGTCTTTGAGTAGTCATATTATTGCTTTTTCTGGGAGATATACACATGGGTGGCATTTCAAACAAAATATGAAAACATAATTTTAAACTTTTCCACTTGCTATGCTGCTATTACCATGCTATTATGCATTTCACTTCCTAGGATCTTTGAACAAATTTATAAACTTTGAGCAAAGAAGATAAAGTCACATCAAAATGGTGCTGAAGTTTTAGGATAAATATAAAGTTTCAGTAAGGATTGAAGGCAGTTTTCTTGAAGGCCTTTATATTTGAGTTTAATTTAGGTAAAGCCTTGTCAACCTTCATAAATGGCTTTTTAAAACTTGGCCTATGCTACCATGAAAAAAACTCAAGAGCCGGGCGCTATAGCTCACACCTGTAATCCCAGCACTTTGGGTGACCGAGGTGGGCAGATCATGAGGTCAAGAGATTGAGACCATCCTGGCCAACATGGTGAAACCATGTCTCTACTAAAAATAACAAAGATTAGCTGGGCGTGGTGGCGCATGCCTGTAGTCCCAGCTACTCAGGAGGCTGAGGCAGGAGAATCACTTGAACTCGGGAGGCAGAGGTTTCAGTGAGCCAAGATTGCGCCACTGTACTCCAGCCAGGCAATAGAGTGAGACTCCATCTCAAAAAAAAAAAAAAAACAAAACAGGAAATGTTCATTCCATGTTATGGCTGCTATGAATAGAGCTGCAGTAGACATGGGAGTGCAGTTATCTCTTTGATATACTGATGTCCTTTCTTTTGGATAAATACCTAGCAGTGGCATTGCTAGATGATATGGTAGTTCTATTTTTAGTTTTTTGAGGAAACTCCACACTATTTTCCATAGCGGTCATACTAATTTACATTCCCACCAATAGTGTGTGAAGGTTCTCCTTCTTCCACATCCTCACCAGCATCCATTCATTATTCCATGTCTTTTTGATGTATGCCATTTTAGCTGAGGTGAGATGATATCTCATTGTGGTTTTGATTTGCATTTCTCTGATGATTAGTGATATTGAGCATTTTTTCATATAGCTGTTGGCCATTTGTACGTCTTCTTTTGAGAAATATCTATTCAGATCTTTTGCTTTTTTTTTTTTTTTTTTTTTTTTTTTTTTTTGAGACAGGGTCTTGTTGCCCAGTCTGGAGTACAGTGATGAGATCATGGCTCACTGCAGCTTTAATTTGCCCGGGATCAGGTGATCCTCCCACCTCAGCCCAGGTTGGTCTGAAACTCCTCATCCTCCCAAAGTGCTGGTGTTATGGGAGTGAACCACTGCCCCAACCTTGCACATTTTTAAATCTGATTTTTTTTTTTTTTTGGCTATTGAGTTGTTTGAGCTCCTTAATATACTCCAGTCATTAATCCCTTGTCAAATGGGTAGTTTGCAAATATTTTCTTCCATTCTGTGGGTTGTCTCTTCACTTTGTTCATTGTTTCTTTGCTGTACAGGCACTTGTTAGCGTGACATAATCCCATTTTCTATTTTTGCTTTGCTTGGTTTTGCTTTTGAAATCTTTTGACAAATGACAAAATAGACAAATAAAAATGCTCCAATGTCCTGGAGCATTTCCCCCAATGTTTTCTTCTAGTAGTTTCATAGTTTCAGGTCATAGATTTAAGTCTGTAGTCCATTTTGATTTGATTTTTGTATATAGTAAATGAGAGCCTAGTTTCATTCTTCTGCTTATAGTTTTCCAGTTTTCCCAGCACCATTTATTGAAGAGACTGTCCTTTCCCCATTGTATGTACTTGATACCTTTGTCAAAAATGGGTTGGTTGTAAATGCATGGATTTATATTTGGGTTCTCTATTCTCTTCCATCAGTAAATGTGTCTGTTTTTATGCCAGTACCATGCCAATTTGGTTACTGTAGCTTTGTAATATGTTTTTAAGTCAGATGCCTGCAGCTTTTTTTTTTTTTTTTTTTTTTTTTTTTTTTCGGAGATGGAGTTTTTCTCTGTTGCTCAGGCTGGAATGCAATGGCACAACTCTCGGCTCACTGCAACCTCTGCCTCCCAGGCTCAAGCAATTTTCCTGTCTCAGCCTCCCCAGTAGCTGGGATTACAGGTGCCCACCACCACACCCAGCTAATTTTTGTATTTTTAGTAGAGATAGGGTTTTGGCCAAGCTGGTCTTGAACTCCTGACCTCAAGTGATCCCCCACCTCTGCCTCCCAAAGTGCTGGGATTACAGGTGTGAGCCACCACACCTGGCCTCAGCTTTGTCCATTTTGCTCAGGATTGCTTTGGCTATTCTGGATCTTTTGTGGTTCTATAAAAATTGTAGGGGCCAGGCACAAGTGGCTCACACTTGTAATCCCAGCATTTTGGGAAACCTAGACTGAAGGACTGCTTGAGCCCAGGAGTTCAAGACCAGCTTGGGCAATATGGCAAAAACCTGTCTCTACAGAAAACAAGTGTTGTGGTCATGGGCCTGTAGTCCCAGCTACTCATGGGGCTACAGCTGGAGGATCATTTGAACCCGGGAGTTTGAGGCTACAGTAAGCTGTCATTGTGCCACTGTACTCCAGACTGGGTGACAGAGTGAGAACCTGTCTCAAAAAAAAAAAAAAAAAAAGAAAAAAAAATTTCAGGATTTTGTTATTTTGTTTTCTATTTCTGTGAAGAATATCATAGGTATTTTGATTGGGATTCCATTGAATCTATAAATTGCTTTGGGTAGAGTTGTCATTTTAACAATATTAATTATTTGGACCCATCAGCATGGAATATCTTCCCATTTTTTAATGTCCTCTTTAATTTCTTTTATGAATGTTTTATAGTTTTCCTTGTATAGATCTTTCACGTCTCTGATTAAATTGTTTTCTAGGTATCTTATATTCTTTGTAGCTATTGGAAATGGGATTACTTTCTTGATTTCTTTTTCAGATTGTTCACTGTTGGCATATTTAAGTGCTACTGATTTTTGTGTGTTTATTTTGTATCCTGTAATTTTACTAAATGTATCAGTTCTAACAGTGTTTTGGTAGTCTTTGGGTTTTTCTAAGTATAAGATCATATTGTGGGCTGGGCACAGTGGCTCACGCCTGTAATCCCAGAACTTTGGGGGGCCAGAGTGGGCAGATCACTTGAGGCCAGGAGTTCAAGACCAGCCTGGCCAACATGGCAAAACCTTATCTCTACTAAAAATACAAAAAATTAGCCAGGAGTGGTGGTGCATCCCTGTAGTCCCAGCTACTCAGGAGGCTGAGGTGGGAGAATTGCTTGAACCCAGGATGCAGAGGTTGTAGTGAGCCAAGATCACCTTTGCACCACTGCACTGCAGCCTGGGTGACAGAGTGAGACCCTGTCTCAAAAAAAAAAAAAAAAAAAATTGTCTTTGAACAAGGCTAATTTGACTTCTTCCTTTCCAACTTGGCTACACTTTATTTCTTTCTCTTGCCTGATTTCTCTGGCCAGGACTTCTGGTATTGTGTTAAATTAAAGTGGTAAAAGTGGGCATCATTTCCTGTTCCAGATGGATAAATGGATAAAGAAAATGTGGTATATATACACAATGGAATATTATTCAGCCATAAAAAAAGAATGAAATCTTATCATTTGCAGCAACATGGAGGAACTGGAAGTCCTTATGTTAAGTTAAATAAGTCAAGCACAGAAAGACAAATATTGCATGTTCTTATCCATATGTGGGAGCTAAAACAGTGGATGTTATGAAAATAGAGAATAGATTGGTAATTACCAGAGGCCGGGAAGGGGTGGGAGGTGAAGAGAGATTGATTAATAGGTACAAATATACAGTTAGATAGAAGGAATAAGACCTCATGTTCAATGGATCAGTAGGGTGACTAGTTCACAATAATTTACTGAACATTTCAAAATAGCTAGAAGAGGCCGGATGAGGTGGCATATACCTATAATCCCAGCACTTTGGGAGCCCAAGGTGAGGGGATCACCTGAGATCAGGAGTTCAAGACCAGCCTGGCCAACATAGTGAAACCCCATCTCTACCAAAAATATAAAATTAGCCAGGTCTGGTGGCACACACCTGTAGTCCCTGCTACTTGGGAGGCTGAGGCAGGAGAATCACTTGAACTCAGGAGGTGGAGGTTGCAGTGAGTCAAGATCACGCCATTGCACTCCAGCCTGGGTGACTGTCTCCAAAAAAAAAAAATAGCTAGAAGAAAATAAATGTTTCTAGCATGAAGAAAAGACAAATAGGTGCAGTTCCAAGATGGCTGAATAGGAACAGCTCCAGTCTACAGCTCTCAGCGTGAGCAACGCAGAAGATGGGTGATTTCTGCATTTCCAACTGAGGTACCAGGTTCATCTTACTGGGGCTTGTCCGACAGTGGGTGCAGGACAGTGGGTGCAGCCCACAGAGTGTGAGCTAAAGCAGGGAGAGGCATCACCTCACCCAGGAAGCGCAAGGGGTCAGTGAATTCCCTTTCCTAGCCAAGGGAAGCCGTGACAGACGGCACCTGGAAAATCAGGTCACTCCCACCCTAACACTGCGCTTTTCCAACGGTCTTAGCAAACGGCACACCAGGAGATTATATCCTGCACCTGGCTTGGAGGGTCCCACACCCACGGAGTCTCACTCATTGCTAGCACAGCAGTCTGAGATCCAACTGCAATGCGGCAGTGAGGCTGGGGGAAGGGTGCCCGCCATTGCTGAGGCTTGAGTAGGTTAACAAAGCAGCCGGGAAACGCAAACTGGGTGGAGCCCACTGCAGCTCAAGGAGACCTGCCTGCCTCTGTAGACTCCACCTCTGAGGGCAGGGCATAGCTGAACAAAAGGCAGCAGAAACTTCTGCAGACTTAAACGTCCCTGTCTGACAGCTATGAAGACAGTAG